TTTCTGATGAAGGGTCTAGGCCCGAAACATCAGCCTTCCTGCTCCTATGATGCTGCTTGGCCTGCTGTGTTCATCCAGCTCTACACCTTGTTATTGCAGTAGAATTATACCTTGATTTCATAAGGTTAAAATGAGGAAGTACTATCGTACAAATGGGGTTGTATGCCGGGAAATTTGGATGGTTAAGGGGTGATTTTGATCAGAGTTTTCAAAATATTAAGGGGAATAGATAGAGTACAATGGTACAGATTTGAAGGTCTAAATAATGTCAGACTTTCAGTCCTAATTAGTACAAAAGTTCTCTTTCCACCAAACAAAAGGAAACAAAAAATCTGAAGAAGCTCCCCAAATCAAAACATGTACATTTTATTGGTTGAGTCTAAGACTGAAATTCAATTTAAGTTAATTTTCTCGTTGATTTTTTTAAACTGCTATGTGAAAACCAAATAAACAGTGCTTTCCATTTAATGATTACTATTAAACTTAAGTCTCATGCCAGAAATACATGTGCAAATAATTAATGTTGGTCAAGAAAAATTATTTTTATTTTTCTTCTATATTACAGTAAAGTGAAGGGGATAATCACAAATAACCATGACTTTGCCAAGAAGAATTTAGAAAAACCCAAAGATATATTTAAAACTGAACTCATTGAAAAAGCAGTACAATCACTGTAAATCCATGGGATACTGAAAAAGTAAAGCTAATGGCTTTGCTGTAACATTAGATTCAGAAAACATACTGAAATGGTAACAATGCTGAATCTGTCTGAAACTGACTTGAAGATTACAAAGTAGAAAGATAAAATATTTAAATAAATTAAATGGACAATAAACTTCAGCAGTAAATGATTATTGACAGGAATTCAGTTCTGCATAATTCTGACCATCAAACATTTTCGTCATAAAATGCCTTTGCCATTGCTTGTGCCATCTTCAAAGCTTTTTTCTCTTTGACATTTTGGCCCATATTATCCTTGGCTAGTTGAATCCAGTATGATTCTGTACGTGACAAATATTCTGAATAAGGTTCCTCTGATTGGACTGGAGGATGGTCGTCTAAGAAAGCAAAAGAAATAGTTTACAATTTCAGATTCTCTTACAAATCTCAAAAGCAATACTAACTTCTGTTGAACTGGATCCTCTCATATACAATGTTTCAGTTTGAACTATGATTTTCATTAACACCAAAATAAAGTTCACCATCACAATAAAATGATATTTATCTTTATATTTAACTCTTTGGTCAACTATGCCACTTACAGGCAGTATAACTGTGTTTGTTCATATTGCCCAGAATGCAAGACCAACCACAAAAGCACATTGACAAAATTCCCTCAGCTGAATAAAGGCACAAGAGTGTTACTTCATCACATTTCAGTAGCTCTCAATAAATAATTCCTGAAATAAACTGAGCTATCTGAAATGAACTGGCATACTACACTAAGGGATGGATCAATAGAGATGCACTGGCAAATACTGAGGGGCCACCATCTTCTACAGGGATTAATTAATAAGGATGGAAAAGGTCCTTCCCCTCTGGATCTCAGGACTGTCCCCGAACTAAAATTCAATACATGCAAGTCAAAAATGTCATGGATACAACATCTGAGAAACATTTTCCAGATTTCCAGCCAGGGAATCTCAGAAATCTTTACTGTCAGAGACTCCTTAACATATGACTCAATCTTTATAGTCTAGACTGCTCTACTATTGTTTGGTCAATGAAATACAAGGACAACGGAGATTTAACTAGGACTTGAAAATTGCAAAACAAGTGCTAGCATCAAAGAACATCTCTGCTTGTGACAAGCTTTTCACTATTCATACAGCTGAGAATCCCAGGAAGTCAAAATCACTGACAGTAATTATTACTGGCATCAAGTACCTGCAAATGACAACACCACTTTGATGCCAAATTATAAAGGCTAACTACAAAAACATTGAAGGAAATTCTTTGTCAAAATATCGACAATGCTCTGCATCACTCCCCCACAGATGTAAAACTGAGAAGTAAGAAGGTTCCAATACTTGCTGCACTATTGTTATCAGTTTTTCACATGCCACTCAAAGGCTGTAATTAAACTGCGTATTTGAAGATTCAGTCTGAAAGAAGTTCTTGCAGTTAAAAACAGCACTGCAAGCTTAATTCTTGCACAATGCAGTAGCATGTGATCTGGAGCACATCACATATTATATGTTGAAGAGTATACAAGAGAAATTGATCAATTTTCAATGGTTTGAAGTAGTCTTTTAGAAGGAAAAATGTAAGTTGCAAACTGGCATTAATACAAGAAACAATTGCCTTTTGTATTCTTTGGATTCACTGAAGTGCTTTACAATTCATGAAGAGTAAATCATTTGTTTTGTGCCAAACAGATGCAAATTTACACAAAAACGTAGCATTACAAATAACAGATGAAAAAAAACTGACAAGCTAATTCGTTCTGATGTTGGTTGAGCGAAGGAGGTTGATCAAGCAACTGGAAGCATTGCTTTTCCCTGAATAAATGCCATCTGCTTGAATGCATTTTTGCAGCTTTTCATACTATGTAGGCTGGCAGCCTGTAATATTCAAGCACAATGTGCTCCAAGGCTGGTTACATTTCATCCTGTCTGGGTACAAGGACAGGGCTTGTTACAAGGTTTTTAATAGGGTCTCTGAAACAATTCAAGAGTCAGGAACATAGAAATTAGAAGCAGGAATTGGCCATTTACTTTCTGAGACTGTTCCATGATTCAATACAATTATAGCTGATCTTGTTGAAGTAGCAGCTTCATTTTCCTATATAAAAAAACCAAAAGAACTGCAGATGCTGTAAATTAGGAACAAAAACAAAGTTGCTGCAAAAGCTCAGCAGATCCAGCCATCTGTGAAGGAAAAATCAGAGTTAACGTTTCAGGTCCGGTGACCCTTCCTCAGAACTGCTTCATTTTCCTGTCTGCCCCCCATAATCCTCAACTCCGTCAACCAAAAATCTAACTCAGCAGGGAATAAAGTTACGTGTACAGCCTCTACTTCTTTCTGGGGAAGGAAGTTCCATATTTTAATGATCCAGAGAGCAAGAAATTATCCTCATCTGTCTTAAAAGAGAGACTACTTATTCTTAACCAACTCCCCTGGTTTTAGGTTGCCTCAGAAGCAGAAATCTCTTCCAGATATCCATCTTATCCAGTTTGTTCAAAATCTTATGTTTTCAATAACATGACTCCCTCATTCTTCTAAACTCCCATGGAGAGAGGCATAAATTGGTCAAGCATTCTTTACAAGGTAAGCTCTTCACCCCAAGAATGAGCTGAGTGAATGTCTTCTAAACTGCTTCTAAAGAAATTATATCTTTCATCAAAAAAGGAGAGCAAAATTGTATAAAGTTCTCCAGATGTGGTCTCATGAATACCCTGTACAACTATAGTAAAACCTCTACTTTTATATGCCCTTGCAAAAAACAATGATCGATTTGCTTTCCTAATTACTTGTTATACTTGCATACTAACTTTATGGTTGTTGTACCAGGACACCCAAATGCTGCTGTACAACAGAGCCCTTCAATGTCCCTTAACTTACATTCCATTCTGCTTTTTCAATCTTCCTGCCAAAATGGACCAGTCCACACTATCACATCATACTCTATCTGCTGAATTTGTGCTCACTTGTTTAACTTGTCTCTCTCTTCTGTTGGAATACAGATTTGTATTTAAGGACCATGAGGAACTTAAATATAGAATCGTTCAGCCATTCTGGATTAAAAAGTGTACTGAAGCAAAATATGATACTATGAAATTGTTGAACAGTAATGCGAGATATGACTCACCTGCTAATTATTGAAATATCAAGTAACTTTGGAAGGAAAAGCTTTTGAGAGACAAAAGATGAGTTTCACAGCTTAACTGTTAGATAACTTTTGTTTGGAAGAGATGGGACTTATGTGCTGAACGTTGCCTAGTAAAACTCTATTGGATTTTTCCTGTTTTCCCATGTCACAAACTGCACAGTTCTTTTTCTGGGAACCTTAGCAAGTTCCAAATATCAACTTTCCATCAGCATTTCGATCTCATCAACGGGAAACTTGGAGAACCATGGGAAGTTCTCATTTTATTCACTGAGTTTGGATCCTTGTCCCACAGAAGTGTTCGTTTCTCTTTTGCCTTTTTTTAAAAATCAAAACCATATCATCTCTGCCGAGCTATACTGTCTTGTCAGTCATGGGAATGTCATTTTTAGGATGACAGGGATACAAGGTTAATTCCACATAGCAGCTGAGTTGTTAACCAATTTTATCATGTATCTATTGCAATTGTGGATGTTCCTTTTATTCTGAATAGTACTACCACAGAGAGAGAAAGTGACCATTTTGTTGCTTAACTTAAACAATTACACTTTTGGTATGAGTTGACTTTCAGTACACTCTTCCCATCATAGCACTTTGCAGATTCTTTCCTCTTCACAACTTGCTCTCCTACACTGCGTTACTGGCAAATTTAGCTCCCGTACCCTTCATCCCCTCGTTTAAATAATTGATTATAGATTGTAAACAGTTGAGGAGCCAGCACTGGTCCCTTTGGCACCCCACTACTAATATTTTGCCAACCCAAAAAGACGCAATTATCTTTACTCTCTGCTTTCTCATAATTGACCTATCTTTTATCAATGTTAATAGATTACACCTACAACCATGTGCTATTTATCTTGTAAGATCTGCATCTTGCAGCTCCCTTTGATGTAGAACTTTATCAAATGGACTTAGAAATACAAGTGTGCCATGCCAACTGGCTCCCCTCTATCCACCATGACTTCAATTCATCAAAAAGCTCTAATAGGTTAAACACAACGTTTCCTTCACAAAGCTATGTGATCTTCAAAGAGTCAGGCTACAACCATCTTAATACATTCTAGACCCTTCCCAATGACAGTAGTCAGTACCTCAGGGTGTAATTTAGTCAAAGGCAGAGGAAAATGCTCCACGCAGTGTTCATGTGCTGTTGTTGGCTGGCTCTGTGCTGCCGTACAGTCTTGGCTCAGATCTTTGGACGCATTAGCTCAATAAAGCCGAAAGGAATATGATCATTAGAAGATGGCAGTTCAATGCAGCTAATAGTGAGTGTGAAGGATGCCCACAAAAAGTATCTACTTGGCATGGCCGAGAAAGACAGAGTTCAGAAAAACCCAGCTAGGAACAGTGACAACCTAACTAAGATAAAACATTTGTCTGTTCTGTGGATTTGGGTTGCAGCCTGGTGAATCCAGGATGGCACAATCTTCTGAAAAGAATCTGAGCAGCTGGATGGTGAGTAGTTGTTGGAGCACTATAAGCTTAAGTTCTATTGCTTGACAACTACTTGCAGGCCAAAACAAGAAGCAAGCCAACGTCCAGGCTGAATATTTGTAGGTTTTGAGGAAGCTCACAAGCTAGATCATTAAAAAAAATAACGATTTGATACCCCTTGCAAAGGAGGCAAAGCCTTAGGGAGATTAGGTGATCCAGAGGGTCACTGTTCTCCGACTGTATTGCTGAGAAATCCAGAGGATCTCTCTTGATTGCATATGCCATTTGATTGACTCTTAGGGTGTTAAATCAAAGTTCGTCTGCAAATCCATATTTATCTCATGCTAAGTCTGGATGCTAGAATACAATATTGTGATCAGAGATTTTTTTTTTAAATTCACGGAATGAGGGCATTATTGGCTCGACCAACATTGCCCATCCTAGAGGGCAATTAATAGTCAGCCACATTGCTGTGGGTCTGGAATCACACGTAGGCCAGATAGGTAAAATGGCAGTTTCCTTACCTTAAGGACATTAGTGAACGAGATGGATTTTCCTGATAATCGACAATGGTCACTATTTGACTCTTACAGATTTTTATTGAATTCAAATTCCACCATCTGCCATGATGGGATTTAAACGCAGGTTGTCAGACATTACCTGGATCTCTGGATTAATAGTTCAACAATAATACCACCAGGCCATTGCCTCCCTCTAATTATATTTTGGGATTTACATTTCCAAATAGAGGAGGATGAATGTGGGTCAGTTTTGTGAAGGTTAGTTTTAAATACAGTTCATAAAGTCATTTGGACAGTGACATAATTGCAGTTCCAAGAAAGCATGAGAGTTCTGTCAAGTGCCTGGGAGAATCCCTGAATTTCTATTGGATAAATGCTTATCCTAGTGACAGACACAGTAAATATAAAGGGCATTAGCTGCATTTTGACCTCAGAACTGAAGGTTGAAGGTCTCAGAAGAATCAAATTTTTAGTTCACAGGAACCAGTAAACTTTGCAGTTTGTAGTCTGTGGAATTTCCAAGCCAGAAGATGGATACAAGTCTTCAAGGTGCTAAAACTGAGAAAGCGTACGCCATCAGAATTATGGAAAGTTCATGCCAGCAGATACAAAAGAATCAAAATTGTTTGTGCAGTCCAATGGAAAGAAATTGGGGAAGATTCAGTTCAAAAAAGATTGAAGGTGCGATATGAATGAAATTTCTCTAGACTTCAGTAATTGTGAAAGATTAGGTCAGAAATCACACGACACCAGGTTACAGTCCAACAGGTTTATTTGAAAACACAAGCTTTCGGTGCTTCATTCCTTCTTCAGCTGTTAGGGAGAGAGAAGTAGTATCAGACGCAGAATTATCAGTAAAAGATCAAAGGGTCACACCACTGATGAGGACGTAACAAACAAACTTAGGACCTGTTAAATCTCTAATCAGTTAGAAGGTTTTAATTGATTAATATGTATACATAAATCCCCAAATTCCTTTGAAGTAAAGAGAAGTAAAGGTGTAAAGAAGAGGTGGCAGTTTAGGGTCAGACAATGCATGTTGGGTGTGAGGCCTTGTTCAGAATCGCTGACTGTTTTGGTTTGGAATCAGACTGGTTTTACTTCTAAAGTAGGAATTTATAAAATGCCACATTGACTGACTATCTATCAATTGTGTGCTTTTTGAATGAAATAGAGTGTATCTGCAAATGCAAATTCACCCTATTGGTAAGCGTGTCTGTCTATCAATCATCGACACCACCAACCGCCAGCTCAAAGGGGAGAGGATCTCCAAGAAGATTGCACATAGTGACACGGACATCAAGTTTCCACAGAAATGCAAGAAAGCACAAAAGATCCCAAAAGGACTACAGATCACGAACCCATCAAGTCGACCTACAACACTGATTACGTTGAGAGATTTTGCCATCACACCTCTCGCAAACTCCTCAATCATCTTGTATACCAACTCTACAGTAAGCACCATTACCTTGAAATCGAGATAGAATCCACGTTCTCAGGTTGCCGGTCAGGATACAGCACTAGAGTTACGGGATACTGCCAAAACAGACGAGGCAATGGAACTACATCACCTACATACATGCACACCAAGAAAAGAAACTGGAGAAACTTGGCATTACCACCAGCAATTACCAAGTCTCTCCTGGTACCACCATTGAAAGTGGCACCACCATGGCAAAATCCATCATCAACTTATCTGATCACACCCTTCAACTAGACGAGATTGAAGTTTCTCAGCTGAAGACTCAATGTCTGCCACCAAAATGGACCCCTCTGGTCTCATAGCAGACAAAGAGGAATTGTTCCAAGATGTCAGCAGCAAGCCCAAAGAGACAACCAACGAACCGGACCAAATTGACAGGGAGATCCATGGGGAGCGGGCAAAGCAGGAGTCGAATTAGACCTCTCCGGTGGGCCGCTGCCAGGGGCTTGACAGTTACGCTCAAGCCAGAGAATGCGTGAATGCCAGATTCAGATTCATCAGCCACACTCAAGGTAGTGCAATACGTCAGCCAGGCACAATGGAACACCATCCATGCTTTCAAGACCAATCACAATATTGCCATCAAACCAGCAGGTTTAGAGTACCCTACGCACTCTCATCCCCCGTACTTCCCACATAAGGGATTACTGCTGCCTTCTGAAGAAATACAAAGCCAACACACCTGGATGTCCCATCATATCAGGCAATAGAACCCTGTGAGAGAACCTCTCTGGCTATGTCAAGGGCATCTTGAAAACCATTGTACAAGGAACCTTCAGCTTCTGTCTTGACACTACAGATTTCTTACAGAAACTCAGCACCCACAGACCAGTCGAACCAGGAACATTCCTTGTCACAATGGACGTTTTGGCACTCTACACCAGCATCCCCCACGATGACGGCATCGCTGCAACAGCCTCAGTCCTCAATACCAACAACTGCCAATTTCCAGACGCCATCCTACAACTCATCCACTTCATCCTCAACTACAATTGCTTCACCTTCAACAAACAGTTCTTCATCCAGACACACAGAACTGCCACGGGACCAGATTTGCTTCCCAATATGCCAGCATTTTCATGCACACGTTTGAACAAGACTTCTTTGCTGCACTGAACCTCCGACCAACACTATACACCAGATACATTGATGGCATTTTCTTCCTTTGGACTCATGGCGAGGAATCACAAACAACTACATGACGATATCAACAACTTTCATCCCACCAGACTTACCACAAACTACTCTTTAGAATCAGTCTCCTGCTTGGACACATGCATCTCCATCAGGGACAGACACCTCAATACCTCACTCTAGTGCAAGCTGACTAATAACCTCACGATGCTGCACTTCTCCAGCTTCCACCCTAAACGTATTAAAGCAGCCATCCCCTATGGACAAGCCCCACGCCCACAGGATCTTTTCAGATAAGGAGACTGAGATGGACACCTGAAGGTGTTGAAGGACGCCCTCATAGGAACAGGATGTGATGCTCAACTCATCGATCACCAGTTCTGACACGCCACAGCAAAAAATTGTAATTAGTAACCTCCTCAGAAGACAGACACGGGATACGTCCAATAGGATACCCTTCATTGTCCAGTACTTCCCAGGAGTGAGAAACTACGCCATGTTCTTTGCAGCCTTCAACACATTAATAATGACGATGAGCAACTCACCAAGATCTTCCCCACACCTCCATTTCTCGCCCTCAAAACAACCACCAAACCTTAAAGAGACCACTGTTTGCAGCAAACTACCCAACCTTCAGGACATCGTTGACCACAACGCTGTACAACCCTGTCAAGGCAACCCCTGCAAGACATGTCAGATCTTCGACATGGACACGACCATCACACGTGTGGACACCAACTGCCACATGCACAGCAGATACTCATGTGACTCGGCCAACGTTGTCCGTCTCATACGCTGCAGGCAAGGATGCCCCGAGGCATGGTATATTGGCGAAACCAGGCAGACGCTATGATAATGGATGAATGGACACCATGCAACAATCGCCAAACAGGGATGTTCTCTCCCAGTGGGGGAAACACTTCAGTGACCTTGGATCTTCAGGCAAACGTCCTTTAAGGCAGATATCAGGATACAGAACAATGCAGAGTCACCTAGCAGAGGCTGGTAGCCAAGTTCAGTACCCATGTGGACGGGTTCAACTGGGATCCTGGGTTCATGTTGCACTATAGGTGACCCCACCACACTATACACCTTCCCCTTCCCCTCCTGCCCACGCGCACTCCCTCCTCCTCTCCCCACTGCACGCATACACACCTTTTCTCTCACACACCCCCTCCCCATGGGGTGAATTTGTATTTGCAGATACATTCTATTTCGTTCAAAAAGCACACAATTTATAGACAGTCAACGTGACGTTTTATAAATTCCTACTTTAGAAATAAAACCAGTCTGATTCCAAACCAAAAACGCAAACAGATTCTAAACAAGGCCTCACACATAACATGCACCGACTGACCTAAAATGTCACTTCTTTATACTGATAAAACCTTTAGTTCTCTCAGGACAGTAACTTCAAAGGAATTCTGGGACTTACACATCCATATTAATCAATTAAAACCTTCTAACTGATTAGAGATTTAACAGCATCTTAGGTTTGTTTAATACGTCCTCAGTACCATTTGATCTTTCACTTATAAATTCTGCGTTTGATACTACGTCTCTCACTAACCTCTGAAGAAGGAGCGAAGCTCCGAAAGCTTGTGATTTCAAATAAACCTGTTGGACTATAACCTGGTGTTGTGTGATTTCTGACCTTATTCACCCCAGTCTAACACCAGCACCTCCCCATTATGTGAAAGATTAGTGTTGGACGAGATGTTGAAACCTTGTTGTGATGTTTCTGTCAAGATCTCTCTGTCTTCTACGTACATGTTTACAGCAGTTTATTCTTTCATTTGTGGAATCATCTTATGTTCCATTGTAAAAGAACATCTGCAGCCTCATGTCAGTATGTTTCAGAGACTAATCACCATGTTAACCAACTTTAAAAATTAAATACATAATCTATCAAGTAAGGTGACATTCTGGGATCAGTCCAGTTTTACTATCAGCTGGGTTCATAAGAATACATACTGTGGATTGTTTAAATTTTCTAATATTGCAAAGTTTTATTTATTTGTTCAAAAGTGGACACTCTACATGTTATTCCAATGGAAGTAACCTGGGGTCTCTAACGTCTACAAAAAAGGCTACTGATTCCTGACCAGATTGTCTGTAACCATAACAACAGTCAGACAGAAATTCCAATGATGATTTATTTTCTCAGTACTGCTCTGAAATACCAGAGAGTTTTGTAGTAAACTCTTGGAGTGATGTTTCAATCTACGGCCCGTTGATTCAAGAGTAGCAGCACTACCACTGAATTATACTGGCTCCAGTTACACAAACATCGCTTATGAACTTTCAGAAGAACCCACAGATAAAGAGAGACTAGTTACCTAGGTAAAGAACAATGTAGATTTATTCAACATATTTACCGTCTTCTTCACTGCTCTCATCATCATCCTCTTCCTCCTCCCCCTCCTCATCTTCTCCTCCTGCAGCTCCTTCACACTCTTCCTCATCCTCAGAATCTTCATCTAGCCACTCCTGGGTCTCTGCAGAAAGCAAAGATGAGTGAAGTAACAAAATACAACCTTCAAAAACAAAAAACTTCGGAAGAAGACAACTTTTAGACCAAATACTATTACATAGACCAGATCTGATATTCCTCTCCAACCTGAAAAATATATGCCAGCCGAAATACCCAATCCCAAGCAATTGCATTCCTGAATTCAATTTAAATAGGTCAGGTATTACCCTGACACAGGCCCGTGTGCATGAGCTGGGAGAGAAATAATATATTTTCCAAATTCTTTTACCTTTCTCCTTCATTGGGAAAATATGTATCCCATCTGTAAATATCTCAATAAAAGCCCTAGAAGAGCTCTAGAGTGAAAAAAAAGATGGGAGTCCATGTTGTAAAGCTCTGCACGCACTAGCAAGTGGATGACAGTATTAAAATATTTCATGAGCTTCTAAACCTTCACATAGTATTGAATTATCTGTACCAAGAAGCTCTTCAACTTACTCCGGGAAGATGCATTTCCTGTCACAAATGAAAACACCTTTAATGAGCTGGAACTCATGGCATGAATTTTCGTTTCAGGGTCCCAAGCCAGATGCTCTGAACTCCAATTTGGGAATCCGGAAATAGCCACAGTGGGATTTTTGAGGAGATACCCAATTAAGAGGTCGCTTTCAGGAACTGCATTCAATCAAGGTCCATGGATCATCTCTACAAGGAACCCCTCCACAAGACTGCTTAAAGCTGTGGCTGACCGGTCTTGTAGTGGTAGTGACCCTACCTCTGAGCTAGACGATCCAGGTACAAGTCTCACCTGCTCAGGATGAGAGTCACAGCATATCCAAACAGGCTAATTAAAATAATTACAGCTATGGCTGTGGCCATTCGAGCCCAGCAGATCCATCCTTGACTATTTTGCAGGATGTGCCTCCAGTGGGAGGCTACCATCATACCAATTATGGGTTCAAGTCACCGTAGAAATTTTGCCCATCATCTGGAAAATCTAGAAAGCATGTAAAAAGAGATTATCAATTGATAATTAAAGTTATCCTAATTAGCTACTTGTCACTGGGGCGAGTAGCCTGCAGGATATCTCTGCAAGTTCCTTAGACTAGATTTTTAAAAAAAAAAATCAACCCATTCAAATGTTTTATGACACACCTCTGGAGCAGGTGGAACTTGAATCCGGGCCTTTTTGTTTAAAGGTAGGGATGTATGCGACAAGAGGCCCTCACAAGTTTCTCAAGTGTCTTTGGCCCAACCATCTTCAGCTGCTTCATCAATGACCTTCCTTCTATCATAAACTCAAAAGTGGAAATGTTCACTGATGATTGCACAATGCTCATTACCATTTGCGACTCCTCAGGTACTGAAATAGTAAATGTCCAAGTGTAGCAAGATCAGGACAATATCCAAGCTTGGGCTGACAAGTGACAAGTAACATTTGTGCCACACAAGTGTCAGACAATGACCATTTCCAATAAGAAATAATCTAACCATTATCCCTTAACATTCAATTCAATTATCATCACCGAATCACCACTATTAAAATCCTGGGCATCTACCACTGACCAGAAACTGAACTGGACTAGACACATAATACTGTGGCTACAAAGAGCAAGGCAGAGGTTAGGAATTCTGTAGCAAGAAACTCACTTCCTGTTTCCCCAGAGGCTATCCACCAGCTACAAACCAGGATAACGACGGAATATTCACCATTTGCCTGGATGTGTGCAGCTCCACCATCTTTTAAGAAGCTTGACACCATCCAGGAGAGCAGTTCACTTCATCAGCCCCATTTCCACAAAGATTCACTACCTCCAACTTGAGCACTTAGCAGCAGCAAGGTGCAACATCTACAAGATGCACTGCAGAAATTCATCAAGGCCTGTTAAACAGGACCTTCCAAACCCTCAACCACAACCTAACTAGGAGGACCAGGGCAGCATATGCACAGGAACACCCACATCTGCAAGTTTCCCTCCAAGCCACTCACTACCCTGCCTTGGAAGTTTCTCAAGTGCTGCTGGATCAAAATTCTGGAATTCCCTTCTGAACGGCATTTTGGCTAACGATACCAAATGAACTGCAGCATTCTAAGAAACCAGTTCACCACCACTATTTCATGGGCAGCTAGGGGAGGGAATAAATGTTGGCTCAACTAGTGTCACCCATATCCCATGGGGACATTGTTTTTTTTAAAAACAGTCCAAAAGCTATCTTTAATAATTGGCCAAACGTTGAAAACATGCTAGAAGACCAAAGATGTGCAGGTTAGATGGATTAGCCTGCTAAATTGCCCGTAGTGTCCAGGGATGTGCAGGCTAGGTGGGTTAGGTGTGGGACTTGCAGGATGGGGTGGGTCTGGGTGGGATGCTTTTCAGAGGGTCAGTGTGGATTCGATGGGCTGAATGGCCTGCTTCCACACAATGGAGATTCTATAACTAGGATGCCATCCAACAGCAAGAAATTACAGACACATCTACCAAGCTTACTTCCACCTTGGTATGAAAATTCAGCCCAGGTGACTCAAATAGAAGCGAAAACTTTTGAAATGCCACAACTGACAGAAGAATACAAATGAGATAGACTGTATAAGAAATAACTTTGTTTTTGGAAGGTTTTTTTTTGTTGCTCAATATTGTTGCATATTCTCAGAATAGCTCTGCCAATTTTGTTGAAGCACCTAACAGCTTTCCAAACAGTATGTAATTTTTGCAAATTATCTTTGGAAATAACACAGACTTTATTCCATCCTAAAATAAACAGGTGTACAGAAACTTATGATGAGGTATCTGAAAGAACTTCCAACTTTCTTGCTGAAAACTACATCATGATGGTTAAGGCATAAAATGCAACAATGAACTTCAACAGGCTGCTCACGAGGCTGCTCTTCCCAACATCTATTTTTCAGGCATTCCAGCAAAGACTAGATGACCAAAAACAACAATTCTGGCTTGATTTTCTTCTTTTAAACCCTGCTGAGATCAAGTCAGTCAATGCAGATGGCAGGTTCACTCAGGGTTGGCATGCGTTTTCCTTCCTATTAATAACTGATAACAAGAATGTTTTTTTTTCCCTTTATTCATTCACAGGATGAGGGTATCGCTGACGATGCAGCATTTATTGCCCATCCCTTATTGCCCAGAGGGCAGTTAAAAGTCAACCACATTGCTGTGGGTTCTGGAGTCACATGTAGGCCAGACCAGGTAAAGATGGCAGTTTTCTTCCCTAAAGGACATTAGTGAACCAGATGGGTTTTTCTGGCAACTGACAATGGATTCTTGATCATTATTAGATTCTTAATTCCAGATTTTGATTGAATTCAAATTACACCATCTGCCGTGGCGGGATTTGTACCTCGGTCCCCAGAACGTTACCTGAGTCTCTGGATTAACAGTCCAGTGATAATACCACTAGGCCACTGCCTCCCCATGGTGAAAGAAACCCATCCAATGTAATATATCGTGATACATCAGAGCTAAAAGTAGTACTTGCAACACTTGCATTGATTGAAGAAAATTTAATTTATCATAGGTAACGCAGAAGGATGAACCACTTGGAAAGGCTAAATAAATAGCTGCAGCAGTTATTTCTGACAAAGGGGTCGACAGTACCAATCCCTTGGGGATGGAGCATGCACGTGTGCGTGCGCACGGGGTGGGGGGTGTGTTCATCATCTTCCAGATGCCATATCATGCCAGTGGCAGGGAATAGGGACAATAGCCTTCTTCCCAGAGGCTAAATGTGTCACTCATGCACAATTAAGACATTCTTTCTGCTGCCACTGGCATTTCACCAGCGCCAGATGGCCCTCCATCATGTGTATAAACAACAAGGTTAACAGTGGTAGTCTGCCAGACAGCTCAGAGGGGGAAGGGGTTTCCTATTCATACCTATTGCCCACAGAGGAGTCTCATTGTGGCAATGATTGCTCTAGTGGTGATAGCACCATGTGCCCTCAAACCACCCAACCCACTCTCGAATTGACCAGCAGCTCTTAGGGGCCGATGGACATCCCTAATAGTGATGGCTGCCCTAGTAGCAAACAATTAGTTACGTGCTGCTGATGAGATGCACCCCTGGACATACAGGACCACTAAATTTTGCTCATTCTTAACTTTCCAGGACATCAGCTGATGCCTGCCATACAAACAAGATTCATTCCATATTGTTCAATGTCAAATCAGTTGAGTTTAAATAAGCGTATGGATTTATGATAGAACCAGTAGAAATCACAAACTTACTTGGATCAGTTTCCACCAGAACCTTCCATTCATTCATCTTGTGCAGGTCAATGCAATAAAGGTCATTTAAAGTAAATTGTCTGTCTCCCACTTCAAACATCCCACCATAAATGTAAAACAGACCATTTTTAATAACTGCCATGGCACTAGACCGGGCACGTGGCTCAATGATAGGACCAGTTTCAGAAGCACCATCTTCCTTTTCCTCCTCTTCCTCTTCACTTTCTGTATCTGCTTTGGCATCAGGGTTATTTATGACCTGTTTTACAGTCATGAGAGTACCATCTTCAGTTACAATTTCTTTGACTATTTCCATTGAAGTCTGTAAGTCCTGCTTTTCACTTTTCACTTCTGTTCCATCTTCCTCTTTTCTTCCACGTCTTCGTTTCTTTTTCTCCCCCTTGTGTCCCTTCAACTTCACAGCAAACCATCGATTCTTCACCATATCATAAATATGAATGTCATTAAAAAATTCTCCTTGGAGGTCTTCTTCCTCCTCTTCATCATATACACCGCCAAAGAGAATGGCACGGTTGTTGGGGGCAACAGCCAGAGAGAATCCTGATCGTGGCGATGGCTTCAGTCCTGTTGGGTTAATGCGAACCCAGGCCCATTTATCTGAGGAAAAACAAGTGATAAACAGGTGGTTCGAGATGAACAGAGGTATTCATTTCAAATACAATTACATACTGAAATATAAAAGATAACATTTACTTAAAAACAAACTAATGGAAATTGCCTGGAAATGTAGTGGAGGCAGGCTCAATAGAGGTATTCAAGAAGGTATATGGATATGCCTGATTATATGGATAGAAATAGCATGCAGGATATGGAGAAAGAGCAGGAGATCCACATTAGGTAACAGAACTCATGCAGGCATGATAGGCAGAACAGCCACCTGCTGCATCATAACAATTCTGTGATTCTGCAAATACACTGTCTCGGTGACCATGTTTTAATTGCCGAAAATTCCTAGTGAAAAAATGTTTTGCATTTCAGTTGGTAACTTTTCTACTACCTCTACCAAATTAATTTTAATCCAACTATTACCAAAATCTAGGATATGCCTCTAGCAATATGACAAAAATATGGAGAAAATAATGTTTTACAAATGGGAGACATTAAGACTATAACGGTTAAGATGACTCTAACTTAAAATGATGGCCATTCAAAACCTCTACCTGGAAACAGGCCCAAACAAATTGACACAAGTGCCAGTTTTCATATATCAGAGTAAAGGGACAGTTGATTAACACAGGGAAAAGAGTGACAATCTACTGTGAAAAGGAGGGAAAGACTGTGTTAGCATTAACAAACAAGTAGAATGCTGATAAGAGATAGTTGTTGGTTTAATAAGAATGACAGACCAAATGGAACTTTTAGAGATTTAACAAACAGTTGCCAAGGTGAACCTTGCTAGTAGAATCTGTTTGCAGAGACAAAAAGACTTTGCAAAGTTCAACTAGGTGTGGCAAGGAAACATGAGCCTGCTGAAAAGCTGAGTGTGTCTTGGAACTAGATCCTGCAATGCAATACATCTGCCAGCGGTGCTGTCAGCAATGAACAGTCGAATAAGTTATAAAGGAACATCTCAATTGCATTAGTTAGTTAATGTGAAAGTGGGTAAATGCTGGAAAGAGGGGGAAACAGAAGGAAAACCTTGAATTCTAGATGGAAAGTGCAGTGAGGAAATTTGAACTAGGCACAGGAAAACTTCAATTATGCAAAACAGGGGGTGTCAGTAAATCTTGAGGATGATTAACATTTGGGGTTGAATTTAGCCTTCTTGGCAGGGGTGGGAACTTGACCCAGAAGTGTGCAGTTTACTGACCTCATCTCTGCTGAATAATGGAATCAGTAGTCAATTAATGGCCTGGCAGCAAGCCAACTGACTAGGAAAGGGATAAGTGATCACCTTGCCTAATCGGGGTTGTGAAAGTCTTGTAGCAGTGCTGAGCTGGGGTTATTATAAACAATGTCTTTGCTGCGGGTGCACACCCCCCAAAATCTTGGTGCTGTTGCAGCTCCTTCAATATAGTGAGGGTTTAGAAGAGGAAAGCAGAGTTGGGACAGAGTGTTTTGGTGTAACGAAAGACTCTTGCAATAGCAGATGTTTCAAAGTTGGAGGGTCAGCTGAAGGAAGGATCTGTAGTCACAGGACTGTCAGAGTGTAAGATGTGCAGTGAGCAGGACGTTCAGTAATCAGGATGGGTGACAAGATTCAGCAGGGAGCAACAGGTACAATGAGCAGGAAGTTACCATATTTATTTGGCTATAGATTTCTAAATGTATATTGTTTTAAAACACTTCATTTCTCAACATAGGAATTTACCAAAGTATTTAAGTTCATAGGGTGCAATGTTAGAATTGGTTTTCAGTTACGGAAATTCTGCAGAATTTAACAACAGCTTTTACATTTGATTCAAATGGGAAAACATGCTTTGCTTCAAGCTGGTTTATTTACAAGTCACATTTTCAGAAATGCTAGCCACAATTTTAAGTGAGGGCCTATTGTGTTAGAGAATTTTTTGAGCATCAAAAGCATCCAGTGTACTAGTCTGCACAGCTGGCTGGCATGGCTCACCTTCCTCATCCTCAGAGAATGAGACTCTCTTACTCACATTTTCCTCTGCCATAGTTCAGGAGCAACATGACCATATGTGAGACTCTATTGTACAGCACAGCTTGATCAGTGCAAGTATCTAAATTATGGCCTGGGTGGATGTGTGGATATTGTTAAACCTCCTCTCAGGTCCTGTGCATGGATTTCACATGGGATCAAAGCCATTTCCTGAGAAACCAATATCCTTTGTCTAAAATCACATATAGTCGGCACGTTAAAAGAGTGATATCCTTTCTTACTGACAGATTATCCTGGCTGTATAGGTGAAGCTTTTATTTACACATGTGAAAGCTATGACCTCTTTCACCTTCAGAAATCCTTTTACTGCTTGATTGGTGCCGTCACTGGTAAAGGAAGTAGACTCAGTTATATCTGAACATGGCAACCATTAAAATGTTCTACAAGTTATGAAAGCAATTTGAAAGTCTGATGCTGGAGTGCACAAACTTTATTGTAGCACTTCCTATGTGCCCTGAGAAACTGTCCTAATGCAGGCTGAAAATTGTGAAACTCCCCCACGTTCAGATTAGAAACTTCTGCCAAGTGCAACTGCAGTCTTGCTTTCAGCCTTTATGTTTAATGTTGCAACACAATGCGTGACTTCCTCCAACATTTTCATGTAAAGGGAGGCAATGACCTAGTGGTGTTGTCACTAGACTAATCAGCCAGAGGCCCAGGTAACATTCTGAATCCCACCATTGTAGAAAGTGGAATTTGAATTCAATAAAATCTGGAATGCCATCCTTACCTGGTCTGATCTACATGCAATTCCAGCAATGTGGTTGATTCTTAACTGCCTAGCAAGCCATTCAATTGTATGAACCGCTGGAAAGGAAATAAAGAATGAAACTGGACAGAGTAACTGGCATTGACCAAGGCACCGGAAATGACAAAGGTAAACACAGCCTGTCAATCCTGCAAGTTCCTCCTAACGTCTGGGACCTGGAGTCAAAAATCAGGATAGCTATCTCACAGAAAGTCAAGGAACAGCTTGACATAATCATACTCATGGAATCACCTTAACCACAACATCCCAGACCACACCATCATCATCCATGAGTATGTCCTGAACCACCAGCAGGACAGATACAGCAGAGGTGGCGGTACAATGATATAAAGGAGGGAGTCCCAGGAGTCCTCAACATTGACTCTGGATTGCATGAACTCGCATGGCATCGGGCCAAACATTGCAAGGAAACCTGCTGGCTACCACATATCACACTCTCTACTCCCCGGCTGATGAATCAGGGCTCTTCCATATTGAACAGCAGCTAGAGGAAACACTGAGGGTGACAAAGGTGTAGAAACACATTGCACATTGGATGGACAATTTCCATCTCCTAGATTGGTTCAACGGCACCATGTCTGACCAAGCCAGTCGAGTCCCAAAGAACACCGCTGCTAGACTGGTTCTGTGACAGTTGGTGAGGGAGCGGTAAAAGCATACTTGACCTCATCCTTACCAATCTGACTCTTGCAGCTACATTTGTTCGTGACAGTATAGATAAGAGTGACGACCACACAGTCCTGGTGGAAAAAAAATCTGTCCGATGTTCACATTGAGAATACCGTTTATCATGCTGTGCTACATGAGGCTGACTTTGAACATACCTAACAACATGTGGCACTGTGGGCCAACAACAAAAGTAACCGAATCGTACTCCAAAACAATCTGCAACCTCATTGCTTGGCATATTCCCCATCCTACCACTACCATCAAGCTGGGGATTAAACCTGGTTTAACGAAAAGGGCAGGACAGCATGTCAGGAGCAGCACCAGGCACAGCACCAGGCACACTTGAAAATGAGGTGTCAATATGGTGAAGCAACAAAACAGAACTACTTGAGTGCTAAACAGCATAAGCAGCAATTGATTAATCGAGCTTAGTGATTTCACAACAACGGATCTGGTCTAAGCTGTGTAGTCCTGCATATTCAGTCATGAATGGCGGCAAACAATTAGACAACTCATTGGAGTAGGAGGCTTCACTAATATCCCATCCTTAATTACAGAAAAGACCAACATATCAGTGCAAAAGACGAGACTAAAGCATTCACAACTACTTTTGAGAAGTGCTGAGTGGATGATCCATCTGTGCCTCCTCCAGAGGTCCCCTGCATCAGAGATGTCAGTTTTCAGCCAATTTGTTTCACTCCATGTGATATCAAGAAGTTGTTGGAGGCACTGGATTCTAAAAAGGCTAGAGGCCCTGACAACATTCCAGCAGTAGTACTGAAGACTAGTGCTCCAGAATTTACCACACTCCTAGCCAATCTCTTCCAGTACATCTACGACACTGGCTACCACCTGACAATGTGCAAAACTGCCCAATAATATCCTTCACAGAAAACACTGGTCAAATTCAATCTGGCCAATTACTGTCCCATCAGTCTACTCGTGATCTTATCAGTAAAATTACGGAAAAGTGTCATCAACAGTGCTATCAAACAACACTTGCTCAGTAATAACCTGCCCATAGATGCTCAGATTGGGTTGACCAAGGCCACTCAACTTTTGACCTCATCACAGCTTTTTTGACGAAAGAACTGAATTCTATAGGAGATTGATCACATTTGACAGTGTAGCATTAAGGAATTCTAGTGAAACTGGAATCAATGGGAATCAGAGGAGAACTATTCAATGGTTGAGAGTCGTTGATAGCACAAAGGACGATGGTTGTGGTTATTGCAGGTCAATCATCTCAGCTCCAGAGTTCTTCAGGGTAATTTCCTTGGTCCAGCCATTTTCAGCTGCTTCGTCAACAACCTTCCTTCCACCACATGGTCAGAGGCCCAGGATGGGATGGGGTGGGGTGGGGTGGGGTGGGGGTGGGGGTGGGTGGTGGTGGTGGTGTTTGCTGATGCTTACACAATGTTCAGCACCGTTTGTGACTCCTCAGATACTGAAGCACTCCATGTCCAAATGCAGCAAGAGCTGGACAATATCTATGTTTGGTCTGACATTTGCAGGTAACATTTATGCCACACAACTTAG